AGAACATGTAGATGATTTAGAAAAAAACTGATGTCAGTCTAAACAGTATTTGTTAAGTTATAGGAAGTTGTAAGAAATTGTTACAGACGCCAACCACCAACCGCCGGACGCCAACCACCAACCGCCGTCGCAAAAAAACGGAGACCATAACAATATGTCACCACTTTTGGTGGTGACATAACAATATACAATTGTAGACCTCTCTTGAGGTCAACTGGCAAAATTGTATACCGATACTGTAATCCTTGAAAGTTCAGAGGTCGAGGTCAACAGTACTCTCAGGGTTTGCTGTTGAGGTATACACTTTGGCCACTTGACCGAATAGAGAGGTTAACAATTGTTTGTTAGTCCGAAGAATATAATAATTTGAAGGATATAATATACAATTGTAGACCTCTCTTAAGGTCAACTGGCAAAATTGTATACCGATACTGTAAACCTTGAAAGAACTGTTGATTAAGACCAGAGGTCGAGGACACTTTTGCCAGTTGACCGAAAAGAGAGGTTAACAATTGTTCTGTTAGTCCAAATAATATAATAATTGGACGAATATATAATCGAATATCACGTGAACATATTTGATAAGTAAAGGTATCATATTTTAGCAAAAAATCCCCAAACCGTCGAATACTTGTAATTTTTTACACAACTTATTTTTTCAAAATTAAAAAAATTTCAACATTAAAAAAACAATTTTTCAAAAATAGGGGTCAACAGTACCTAGTAGTGGTCAACAGTTTACAATTGTTGACCTCCCCAGAGGCCAACCGGCAAAATTGTATACCGAGACTGTAAACCGAAAAACTACTGTTGACAGAGACCGAAGGTCGAGGTTTACAGTCGAGGTATATGATTTTGACGGTTGATCGAATGGAGAGGTCTACAATTGTTTTGTTAGTCCGAGTAAACTAATAATAAACATATAGACGACAATCATCAATCGTCTTGGCTTCATTTCACAACCTTTTCTCCGAACCACGTCAGCAATATTTTTTAGAAAATATGGAGACAGTGCAAGTAGCTTAACTATGTATTTGGCACATCACGGCGTATTCGTTAGTGAATTTATGTTAACTTTAGGTTTCTATTTGTATTTTTGCTATACTTGTCGCCTAGTAAAGTCATTTTCATCAACGTTTACAAAATGTCCGTCTTCCATGTTTTTTTGTGACGTCATGAAACTTTTTTTCAGAAGTAGCGGTCAACAGTACCTAGTAGCGGTCAACAGTACATAATTTTGACCGCTACTAATCACCCAATCAGAATCGAGTATTTCAACACTAACAATACATTTTGTTGCCCGCTCATCAACCAATCAGAATTGAGTATTTCAATTGAGGTACTAACAACACAAAATGACTGATAACTGTTGTCTTTCCAAAATTATATTAGTTATTTGTAAGCAATTTCCATACGGTAAATCAAGGGCATTTAATTTAGAAAATGCATAATCTTTATTTTTCAGATACAATATCAATGAGATTGCCTCCCGGGGATTCTGTACTTTATTTAGTTTGCCTTGTATATCATTTTAACTGTGATATAGACAAAGAGACCAAACAAAATACGTTTCGTTCATGGACCACTGACTCACGCGTTTTATTCATGTCCCGACCTACACCTGTAAACAGAACATAAAACAGTTTCTCTTGTTGTTCAATGATACATTATATTGGCGTTTTTGCATCAGCACATTGGTGTTGTTGCATCATCGATAAGAAACAGAGTGGTGTTGTTGCATCAATAGTGAGGAATTAAAACCACGAATTTATCGCTTCTTGATGATGCTACATGTATACCAATGACAGTTTTTTAAAATATAGATCATGCGCTAACTGCATGTGTATGATTATTAAGCAACTCGTCCTAGAAATGGGTGTAAATTGGGAAAACAAAACATCGTACGAAAATCTATCACCGGAAGTCTGGCCATCTTGATGCAACAACACGGTGTTGTTGCATCACGATACCCCCCAGTGATCTTGGTATTTTGAGAGTTGGTTAACGTGGGAGTTAAAAATGTTACCACCAAGAAGATGAAACGCATTGTTATATATCCAATCTTTTAAGTAATGACCATTATTCCTTGTTTGCTTGGTATCACTTATAATTGTTGAACTTCAATTTGCAGGGACTTAGTATATCTTTAAATTGGATTGATATTTTTACCGTCACAAGCAATATACCCGTTCGAGTTTGAACCATAAAAGTTTACCTTAAAGGGTGACGCATATCGTTTAGCAAATCGAACGCTCGTTTCTGGTGTTGCTCACCATTTAGTATAAAAGGCTCGATCCCGGAATAATACTCAAGGGTTCAAAGGCTCGAGGTCGTTGTGTCAACACCTCTAACTTTTATATAACGTTGGTACAGTTTAGATCGTCACACATTTATAAAAGGGAGATTTTCATTTTAACAAATATACGGGAAGCTAATCGGAACCCTTTAACCTGACGTCACGTCACCTAATCATGGGTCGCCAAGGGTACCGGTCACAGCAGCACAAAGGACCTTAAAACGCCAAATGCCCAGATATTAACTTAAGACCTTGGAATGACCTTAACCCATAAAAGTTGACCTTGACCTTGATTATCAGGTCATCTAATCATGGGTATTTATGTTGATCTTAAACTCCTTCGTGGCGGACCTAGAAATTGACAAGGAAAAAAATGTTGATCATTTTTAGTAAAATTTTAGCATTGACAAACTAACCTCATTTTCTAGAAAGAAAAATAAGGCTTTTTCTGGACGCAAAAAACAAAAGTGACCAAACTTGTATTGTTCATCGAGTGTTTCCAACATGGTTGCTATAATATTTTCTAAGGCTCGACATCACCTTTCTGTATTTTTGCCTTAAATTCTGTGCAATTTTCTAACTTCTTTGAGATCCTCATTTTTGCTTGCTCGTTTAATCTTATCTTTATCTTTATTACCCCCGTTTTATTGAGAGTTTCAAAACGGGATTAGGTTATGAAATATGGTGAGAAAGAGTAACGACGGTGAATATAAAATACATTTTTATTACAATTATACGAGCGAGAGGGAATATTTTATTCATAACTTTATTGTATTCTCAATATATACTTCTATACATATGGTTTACATAGCACTTTTATGATCAATTAATCTTGTTTCATTTACATTTATAACTGAAACACATATAGGGGTGTATATAGTAGCATATGGTATATCCCTTTCTTATCAAAATGACGATATATGAAACTGTTTTTAAAGATAGAACGAAACGGGGGAAGGAATAGATATAAGGTTTGATATGATACAGTTTGTTGAACGCATTGTTAAATAGTTGTATGACTCCATGACACATTCCATGTCTCATCAAAATTCTTTAGTGCTAAGATATTTGAAAATCTGTATACGTATTCGGAAGTAACTGATTTTTTCCAATTATTTCCCACTCAAATGTGGATTTCGTCATTAACCAGACTGGTCTTCAATCAGAATTAAACCATGTTTCATTATCAAGGGACACACTCGAATACAAATTAAATGACAACTAAAGCGTCACGTTGACAGTACAAAGCTCATGAAACAACGATCTGGTATAGATTGATCATTTGGAGAGCACTTAGCCATCTGACATCTAATTCATGAAAGGTCGAATATTTAAAGTGTCTCATTGAGACACCGATTAGAAGGAAGACAAGGACTTAGCAATAAAACACTTGCAGGTCTTTGATGTTTTGCCTGGTACAGGGTGTTCAAAAAAGGATCGTAGGAAAGTTAAATAACTCATCAATTTTGCATATTTTACCTTGAAATTTCAGAATTATTTAGTTCATTCAATGTGAATTTTGTTGTAAAAGTTTGATGATTATCTGCTAATAGTGTCAAAAACTACAGTTCCTTACAAAACATGCCCCAAATGTGCAACCTTATTCGTAGGATTCGTTTAGGAATAAAGAGAAGTGCCCACTTTGAGCATGTTTTGTAAGGTACTGTAGTTTTTGACACAGCAGATAGATTATCATCAAACTTTCAGAACAAAATTCACATTTAATGAACTAAATAATTCTGAAATTTCAAGGCAAAATTAAGCAAGTTATTCAACTTTCTTACGGTCCTTTTTTGTCACCCTGTATAATAGATGACGTTTGGTGATTTGTGATATAAAAATAGTACAGTACACGCCATCTTTCAAACAATTCTTTTTCTACCGACGGATAATCTCGCGTGGACACACTCCAGCATTCATCTTTAGAACAAACAAATAGGTATATAATTTGTACATATAAATGTACTGAGTCAAAATAGTTATCTAATTGGTGGGTAGAGATTTAAAGGTGGATTGGATCGAGCGGATTGGATTCATGTAAAAGGTGGATTGGATCGGGAATCTTCAAAATCCGGCCTAAAGTATTTTGTGATTACTTGGGTCCCTTTAAGGAATCGACAAAGCAATGACAAATACATACTTCAATTACTTGATAGATAATATAAAGTATTTAACTGCTCTCCCTTGTAAATCAACATTAGTAAGACATAATAAACAAAGATCTGTAGATAAAAGCTGTCATTCAAATTGACGTGTGGGTGTTCCCAAGACATTTCTGCCATGTTCTGTTTGAATTGAAAACAGATGATATGGATCTTCGACTTCAAAAGTCTGCCTTACGATTTGTGAAACGTCTAAAATTACCCTTGGAATGAATAAGATTGTGTATCAGGTCACCTTTCTAGCCTACCCAAGCAAAATAATATAACATCTATTATTTGACATTGTGGAAGTGAGGAGAGCATTAATCGTCTGATGGGAGATCAATATAAATTTTTAAGGAAAATCCATATTTTGAAGAATCCCGATCCAATCCACCTTTTACATGGATCCAATCCACTCGATCCAATCCACCTTTTAATCTTTACCAATTGGTGTGACATAAATTGGGCGTGTTGTCGGAACAATCGTGTCTTACTTATAATAACTGGGACTCGTATACAAGGATAACAATCTGTTAAAATATTTTGTTCCATGATGTAGGTTATAATTCCACCACTGTCCCAGTTAACCTTGCCCGTTCTGCAGCAAACACTAATAGATGGCTCTGTAGGCTGTCATCTGGGCCCGTCAGTATCAAAGAAGGATCATTATTCTACAATGTAAGTATCGATATAATAATATATATCATCTACCCACTTAAGCGAGCTTGAGCCTCCATTGGGACCCAAATTGGTAACGATATCACATTGAAAGATAAGTGTGTCAGCAAGGTTATCTGATCAGTTGAGCAAATTTTCGTAGTAGAAAAATGATTGATGAGTTTCGTCAACAAGGAGTACGTAACCGAGTATTCTAAATCTTTGAATGATCAAAATTGACCCCTATTCATGAATTATTATTAATCAACGTTGCCAGTGGCAAAACCAATAATTATTGATTACACAAGCCCTTTCCAACACATCGGGGCAAATACTGTCACGGTCCTCTCTTGATTTGCTCAACAACATACCTTGACAGCATTAACAAAGCTCTGCATCATGTAGAAATCTGCTCCGAAAAATTGCGTCAATCTTGTATTTTCCGGTGGTGCCGGTGGCTCATATATTTCTGAAATAATAAATGCCGATCACTGGCTTCTTCAACTTAAATCTTTAATGCTTTTAAGATGAATCGTTTTTGAGATGTGGATTGGTGATAAGATCGCTTCGTAAATCGATGAGATTAGAACGTTTATACAAAGAAACTTAACAAAACTGTGAAAAGGTACATGCAGTTTGATAAATCTTCTACGTACGAGATTTCAAGGAACAAGCTTTGGCATGTTTTCAAACCCACCACATAAAGTACATCTTAACAAATTTTATCAACTATACTATTCAATATCAACAGCAAGAATTCCATCTTTGTACTATATGTTTTAATTCATATATATTTTCAAAACAGCATACATAAGTAAATCTAAACAAATTTCATAAAAAATCGACTCCAACAGCAAAAAATGATAACACAAATATTAATACAATTAGAAAATTGATGAAATTACCTTCTTTCTGAGTCAAAAAATCATATGTGCGAATAGAACCACTGATATTGCAACGTAATTCACCCTAGAAGAAAGTAAGGCGTTAATTAACTGTGTATCCGCATGTTTCGAAATTTTAATCATATAATTGTTTCAACCTCGAGTTATTTCCAGAGACTCATAACTAGATACACATCCATAGTTTTGCCCAAAGAGTATACAGTTGACAGCTCCTAGCTAGATTGTTAGTTAGGGTTAATCAATATCCTTGATGTAAATAAAAACGAAAAACTTGTGTGACTTTAGTTTTGTAGTCATACTTTGTACTTTACTATTCTGCATACGCCATAATATACAACACATTGTACCTTTGTTCCAAATACTCGAACCTGCCGATCCACCACTTTCTCTGACATACCGATGTAAGTAAGTGATGCAGTGGAACCATTCTCATATTGAAACATAACAACCTATTTACAGAAACAAATTTTTTTTTAAGCTAACCAGTTTGCACATTTTTATTTTCAAAAATGATAAAACATGTACAAATATATCATATTTAATTTTCTTTGTAATTTTTGACCCCTGTAAATGACAGACATAATTAGTACATTAGTTTGATAGCAAAACTCTACACAAACCTGGTTATCTGGTTGGTTGTTATCACACGAATACACACACCTGCCATAAGGCCCAGTTCTCAAACTGTCAGTTAGGGATTCCACGTCCATTATTTCAGTCACTTGGTTTACTGGGAAACCTCGGTTACCCTAATGTTTAGGAGGAATAATGGAGATTAAAAAGTTAGTAAAACTTAAACTTAACTGAGTATTCATTGATTTTGCCTCATCTTGAAATAAACTAATGATTCTGAAAATATTTTTGTAATAGATGCTAGAGACAATTGTGCAACTGCACAAGAAATCATCAATATAATCTAATGTTTATTTGTATAACAGCCTTAAGCATACATTTGGTGTGTAAATGCAATTTCCACTCCACTTCCGCACTTTGAACAATTTTACTGTGATATTCGTTGGAGCAAGGATATCAATACAAACGGATCAGTTCTCCATTTGTCTCCGGTCCCCACCTGGTTATTAAGACGTTACGTCTTTGTAACAAAATGGTTGTGCTTCCGTCGGAGGAAGTTTTTATTTTCGTCATTTTCACCAAGAAGAAGGTCGATTTATATCCAAATATGTTATGTATCATCCGGTTACTGAATAGCGAATCAGTCAGGAGTATCATCCAAGGGCTCAAATAATCGAGTGCAAAAATCCTCACTTCAGCAACCAGGACGTTTATAGACCATAACATGGTCGAAGAAACCAAGACGTTATAAAATTCACCAGATAACGTCCTGGTTTCTTGCTGAAGTGAGGAATTCTCACTCGATTATTGGAGCTGGTGGATATATTTACTCGTGACTGCCTAGATTTTCAGTAACCGGATGTCACTATTAACATAAGGGTAAAATATTTGGAGACAAATCGACCTCCTTCTTGGTGAAAATGACGAAAATTCCACAGACGGAAGTGCATTCGTTTTGTTATAAAGACGTTACTACCAGGTGGGGACCAGTGAACTGTGTTTACCTTTTTGAAAGAATCCATATAAATCTTCTTTGAGGAAAAGGCACAAGACGTCTCTATTTCACAATTGTCACACCTATCACCTGACCTAGAAGGCTTAAAGTACAAACATATATTACGTAAACGTTAATTATAAACGTAAACGTATATTAGCATTTCCAAAACTGACATGTGAATGTAATCGTGTAATACAGTATACAGGGACGACGAATTGAAATAGACATTGCAAACTTTAATTGAAGTAAAAATTCCTCAAAAGACAATAATGCGACCTCTGTTTTTATGATACTTTATCAATTCTGAAAATATGAAGTGGAAATATAATATACTTCTCGAGCTTTATCAATTTGATCATAAATGTCTCAAAGGAGACAAAAATTTGTGTCACTAACCATATCAATGCACTCTTGATCACTTTCATGGATTGGGATTCGTAAGTAGTGTTATACCGTACTATGACACTGTACTATGACTAAAACCGTAAGAATTTGTTATATGGTGGAGCTGCCATATCATGAAAGAAATAAAGTTGTGTCACATTGTATAATTAACATGTACAATAATGTACGTTTGCTCAGCTATCAGGTTTATACCTTGTTTTTCTTATTGAAATACATCAGACTTCCAAAGGATGATACACGTTGGCATTTGCGATCATCCATCAAATAACAGATAATATCGACGTCATGACAACACGCTTGGAGGAGCAGGAACCCATCATCATAATTACTGCGATTTCCACGGACAAACGAGTGCGGGTACCACCAATATCCTTGCTGTAGTGAACATGATATTTGAAACTTTAAAATGTATTTTGTTAATATCAAAATTCAGTTATTGACTAATATAACAATTAAATTAAACTAAATAGGAGAATTGGTTCACTTTGACTTTAGTCATGTCGATTCTAAAGGCTTATTAGGCTTCATTAGAACATGGTATGAGGTTATGTAATGCTTTAAAAGTATTACAAAAGAATGTACATCTGTTGTATTTGGTAAAAAATTATGTAATTTAACTGCATCAGTTTGAAGCACACCGAGAAGGATATAAAGTACAGACACAAGTCCTTTGTGTTCCAGATCTATTGAAACAAGATTGAGAGAACCCGATGCTCCCTCATTTCAATTAATAAAATGATCCGATAGGGGGATTCTTCCTTCATTTGAGTACGATGTCCTATTATTGTGGTTCAAATACTTACAGGCTCTAAGTATTGAATGTTAATAACATCACCGAGTTGCCCTGAAGAGATGATCTCTTTCATCTTGGCAACTTGGGGTTGGTAACGTAGGACATGACAGACTGCAAATATGACTCCACTTTCTTTACACTCCCTGACAACATCCTTGCAATCTTTTTCGGTCAACTAGAAAATAGCAAAATATCACAAGAGAGAGAGAGAGTTGAGAGGATCATTCAGATAGCAAAATGCAACCATTCGCACTATTTGTCTTTGACTTTTAACAAAAGTTGGAACAACGACGTTAATAACGTAACATGTATTGTACCACAAAGATCTGGGAACTTGTTATTCAGTTTGATTGCCAAAAATGAGTTCTTCAGAACTTCCATGAACCATTACGACGACTGCATTATTGTAAGAGAACATACCGCCATAGGTTTTTCCAACAGAATGTGATATCCTTTCCTGGCAAACGCAATTGCAGGGTCCTATAATGTAAAAGAATGATTGTCATTCTAATTAGACAATACCGCCAAATCTATTTTACTTAATAAGAACGTGAAAATACTAGTAATATAGCTAAACATGGGGAAATAGTCAGCTCGGATGAGCATATGATAGTGTCTTATCACCCAGCTCACCTCCCCACTTGTTAGCGAATTACAATGTTGGATTTTAATGGAAATAGTCCCAGGGGAACGGAATGAAACTGATTCAGTAGAAGAATGTTTACCTTGTGATGATGATTCATCGTCGAAATTATTACACAATCTGCAAATTTTTCTTTTTCTGCTGCATGACTCCAATCTGAAGTTAGATCATACAAATATTTGCGTATCGAATTGTACATCTCAGTTACACCATTGGTTTTCTATATGGCAACAGTGTTAGGGGTCTCATAATGTCATTAATAAATATCAGCTTTGGTATTGGTATTTCATGTAAAATAGCCTAAAAGTAATCTAAGCAACTTCATTTCATATCATTATATTAAAAAAAGTAAAATATACTTAGAATTTTAAAATACCCTTAAATACATTTTCAGAAGAAATATTATGAGCCCCCGCAATTGCAGTTCTGGATATAAGTCGAGGTTCTGCTACACCAACAATCTGAAAATATGCCAAGGGACCCGAAAATCATGATCATAATTCAGTGAATAGTCATGTTTAATGTCTTAGTATTTGTGTAAGACTTTGGGATTATTGCATCACGAAATTTAAATCTAAAATTTTTTAGAAGAGTAGTGAGGTGCAATGCAGAAATGCAATGAGGGTGCCGTTGATCTGATGATTCTAACCTTAAACTCATCTGGCCTATCGAGAGCATGATCTGCGTAAACACATCCTCTGACACCAGCTCCTATAATAATCGCAGTAACTTGTGACTTGGACTGACATTGATTTCCAGCAGGATTTGTTCCTTTCGTTATTTCCATTTTACCATTCTAACGGTCGCATATAGCATTGACAATACAATCAAAGACTTAGTGATATATCGATGTACATTGAAACATATGGATCGGCATGTATTATCTCAAATTGCGACAATTGGGTTGTTTGCGATAAATAGTAAATACATACGTTCTGATTTATCAGAGTCCCTCTCTATCTAACTCTTGTGAGAGATATCTCTTCTCAAGAGAGGCTGTTGAACCAGCAATGTAATATTGCGAGTATCAAAACAACAATGAGTGCATGATTATCATTGAATTTTGATTTCAGATCAAACTATGATGCCATTCGTGCTTGGGCCACTCTGTACTGCGATATAAATTAATTATATATGAGTGTTCCAAGAAGTGAACCGCAATTTGAAAAGTATTTTCTCAGCAATGGGCCAGGTAAGCCAACTTTTATTGAGTAACCGTGGGGTATCATTAGCAAGTGTTAGTTTGAAAGAGATTGGTCACTTATTATATCCAATTCCAGGAATGTGTCAAAACATCATACAGGGTGTTCCATAAGTAATGATAATTATGCTTTTACATTTCTATTTGATAAGGACACAATATAAAACTCACACAACTTGAATTAAAGAAAAAGGATTACGCTTCATTTTGGTATTTTACATTGATTACTTAACGCAGACGTATTCCAATGGAATCAAATGGCTCATTTTGAACATATAAAAGTATTTGTGTTTTGTTTCCCAGGGAATCGTATTCCCATGTAGTACACACATAAATAGTGTACATTATGTAGTACTTGAATAGCCTGGTTTATATAATATTGAAGGGCATGCTGATTGTACACACGATCACATGCATGAAGGCCTAATATTGATAAAGCTTGCATACCTAAATAAAAATAAACTCTTCTAATCCCCTAATGTAAACACGGCGTAGTCCGATTTATCGGAGACTTAAAGGAGAATTGTATTGCTGTACAGTGCGTATCAAATAAACGCAACAGATTGTTATCTCGGAAAAGCACAAAACCAGTGATAACAGCATTGCATGATTTCATTCAATGCACCATAAAGTCACGTGTCTCCTCTTTACAATGATATATCATTCATTGATATTTGGTCATGGTTGGGCGAGTAATCATTCCATTTGCAAAGTGGGCCAAAATTAGCTTGGGACCGAATATAAACATCGCAATTAAGTCAGTGTACGGAGCCCGATGTAATATTGGAAGAAAACACAAAACCAATGCTGACTGCATCCTTTTCATTCAATGTACCAAAAAGCCAAATTACTCCTCTTTGCAATGGAATATCATTCATTCACAGGGAGTCATGGCTGGCCGAATAATCATTAATTTTGCAAAGTGGGGCAAAATTCAGCTCAGACTCAAGTTTCAAACATTGCAAAAGTCAGTACAAGGGGCATAGGGGCTATTGGAAGAAGGTGTGGCATAGACATTTAAGTGTTCATACTCATACTCTTGCAAAAATACATCCTATACCCTTCCAAATTGCCACTATTTCCTTGCACATAAAGATGCGCTCATCTGTCCACGTCATGCATGGTTCAGCCCTGAGTCATCTGTGGGTTAAAGCAGAGAAAGGTAGCCCATGGGCAATTCTTTCTCGAGGTTTTGCAATATCTGGTGATGGAATTGTAATTTTTGCTTTACTTTGCCTACTTTGCTGAAATTGTGCCTACCTTTGGAAAATAGAATATTCGTTATAATGTATGTCGACCAAAGTGCTACAAATGGTATGTCTGTTATTATCACATTCTCCAATATTTGGTTTTCTGTTTGAATTTTTATGAATAGAATGAAAATCATTGTTTTGGAGTGTCTCAACGAGCCATCCTATGGTATTTATTGTTATTGTACCTCCTGAGTGATATTTTGGAGATACTCCCAATGAAGTCACACACTGTTATCTGCTCGAAACCACTCTTAGCCTCTTTGGATGGGAAGCCAGATATCCTTTCAGCTGTTTTATAGATCCTTGTTTTTCTTTCTCTACTCATTCATTGATACGTGACATGCATGCCGCATGTCATGCAACGGAATATTTTGCTACCCCAGTGATTTCCCCGGATTCATCCAACGGAGTCTCAAATCCAGTAGACATCATGCTTTGATAAATTGTGATGACGTACGTATGATCCACACATATCAAGTGACATACTTTCCTTCAAATACCTTAACTGCTGGTCCCGTTAAATATACTTCTGAGTGCCAATGATCATTCGAATTCTGATTCCAAGTGACTGTCAATGTGCCTCCTTTAGTACGAACGACCCACGTTGTCGTCTTTATGATATCGGAGTTAATCGCAAGCTTTCTTGTTCCATTTGCTGCTTTTACAACACTGTCAACGTGTATGGCTGGCTGCCTCAAAAATCCATGGTCATCTAAATCAGCATGCATTGTATTAATGCAACCGCTATCCTCTGGTGATTTTTTAATAGTTTTCACGTCTTCCAAGTTTGGAGGAGAAATATCTGAACGTGGAGCCAAACCAACGAATGCAGCTACAATAGCTGATGCGACAGCACCTGTACCACAGGCGAAAGTTTCATGTTCAACACCCCGTTCAAATGTTCTCACACAAAGCTCGTTGGGAAAATCACAACGATCTGCGACAAAGTTAGCATTGCATCCATCTATATCTTTGTATTGAAGATGGTTTCTGATTAACGAACCATATTTCTCAACATCAAAGTTGTTAAGGTCCTTGACAAAACATACGTGGTGAGGTGACCCTGTATCTAGGAAATAATGTCCGCTTTTATCTGCGCTTGATGTTCTTTGTGTTTGTTGTTTGATTCCATAATCTTTTGCTGGTATGCTTTCTTTGAAAACATTCGCATGATGCCTAACAATACGTTCAACATCGTTCATTTTAAGTTTCACTTCGTTTGTTTTACTAATAGTGGCAAAGTGTGGGCCGTCACACGTCATGAAATTACAATTATCATTTTCTAACACACCCAACTGTTTTGCATACGCAACTGCACATCGTCCACCATTTCCACACATGGTACCTTCGTTACCGTCCGCATTGTAGTACACCATCTCAAAGTCATATTCTAAATGCGGTCTGATCACTATTAGACCATCTGC